AGGTATTGTGCTGCTGAGGTATCTCCCTGGCCCTTTGATAGTGATTTAAACACACAGCCAGAGTATCATAAGTAGCAAAGTCAAGTTAGGCTAAGGGTACCAAGGGATTTTTTTTTTTTTTTTTTTTTTTTTTTTTTTGAGACAGGGTCTCACTGTGTAGCACAGGCTGGCCTTGAACTCACTATGTAGCCCAGCTGGTCTTAGACTCATGGTGATCCTCCTACCTCAGCCTCTCAAGTGCTAGAATTAGAGGAATCTGCCACCACACTCAGCTTTAATTTTACCTGCAATGTTTTAAACCTTAAATTTAAAAAAAAGAATTAAGATGTATTGTGTAAATGTACCAACTCCCCACAATAAATGTAATCATTATGTACTGGGAACATGTACTAATAAATTAAAAAACAAAAATTAGGTAGAAAAATAAAAATCAGATAGGAGTTGCGGGTGTAGTTCAATGGCAGAATGTGCACTTAGCATGTACAAGGACCTAGGTTCAATCCCTACCACCCAAAATCCTTTTAAAAATAAAATTCTGCAAAATGTTAACATTTATTACACTGGGCAGTGAGTTCCATTCTCTCAGTATTCTTCTAAGTATGAAAATAAAAAATTTTAAACAGACTTTGTCAAATGAGCACAAAGCTGCAAGAGAAAAATATTTCTCTATTTTAGGAATGTATTTGTAGAAGTATTCTAATACCTGTGATGTCTAACTTCCTAAGTGTAATAGAAACCTCTAAGTACTTATGCACAGAAACATGCTCATAAGATGCTGCCAAAGACACTAAAAAATCTGACTATCTGCCTATGTAGCTACCAGTGATCTATCAACCAACTGACAAATGTGCCATCTGTTACATCAGCATAGTTTAAAAATCTTTCAACTTATAACTAAACAATCCCAAGTCATTCTCAAGTTTCAACATAATTCTACATAAATCTATTACAGATGACCCAAGAAGTACTTTTAACATTATCTTTCTTCTACATTCCTTAGTCACACACACCCATAGAGGACTCTGCAAGTTCCCCCACCTGGCTACAATGTGTATTGGATTCTAGGAGAGATGTATGTGACTCAGATAGCACCAAGGGAGTGTGCTAATTAGCACCAAAGGAAATTAAACACAGAACTCTGCTTAACCAGCAGTCAAGGATGCAAGCTCCTGAGAGAAAATATGACTTCCTATCCAAGCATGATGAGTACACCAAACTGCAACTGATGCCCAGGAACAAGAAGTTCTAGAAACAGGAATTGAAATAAAATTGGCTTTGTAACATTCACCATTCTGCAGAACCAACCAGTGGCAACCCTTCGGGGTTTTGTTTCGTTTTCTGGCTCAATTAAAAATACCCTGCCAGAAAAAAAAAAAAAAAAAAAAATACCTTGCCAGGCATGATGGTGCATGCCTATAATCTCAGCACTGGGGAAGCTGAGGCAGAAGGATCACCGTGAATTCCGAGGACAGCTGGGCTACATAGTGAGTTAAAAGCTAGCCTGAACTACATAGCAAAACTCTGTCTTAAACAAAAAAACCCTTAGGGCCAGGCGTGGGGGCACACACCTGTAATCCCTGCTACTCAGAGGCTGAGGTAGGAAAATCACAAGTTCAAGGGTTTTCTCTCCAGGTGTGAGGGTCCCTGTGTGTGGTAAGGAACTGGACATTTGGTTCTTTGGGAGTTCTGCTATATATGTGTATATGAGATGTCTCTAAATTTAGACAGTCTATGTGTGGTTTTCTGGACCTGTGTATGTCTCTGAGTATTTGCGCTTGTCTGTATTTTTCTCTGTCTTCAAAGTGTTTGATTATAAGCCTTAAATTTATTATAATTTTCCACCTTTCTATAAAACCATATCACAGTTTTCTTGCCTCTCTGCTTTTTAAGTTTCATAAAATAGAGACATGACATGAGACCAACTGGTTCTGACGGGTACACACTGGTACAGAAACTGAGTGGCGTGAGATTGCTCATTTCTAACAAGCTCTCTCAGTAATAATGCTCCTGGCTTAAGTAGCAAAATTTAGTCTGAGCAAGGATCTAAATAATTCCAAATTTAATAATCTTCCTCTGCCTATAAGTAGACCTTCCATGTAGACTTTCCAGAATGTCCTCTGACTTACCCGTGTACCCAACAGGCTTGACATCAAGATCAGTAAATAAAATTACCATTTTGTTTTCAACATGAGTCTCCTATGAGGTAAAAAGACTTCTGAGCACACTTTATACATGAATTTCTGGATTCCTCAATCTGAAACAAGGAAATCTGAGAAAGGTTCTGCTGTACTGTGAAACTCCTTGGGTGAACAACCTATTCATTTTTCCAAGATGATATACCTCAATTTCAATGCTAACCTCTTCAAACTACAATTTCTGCTTTTAGTATTGCTCACATCAAACTAGATTATGTTTTTCCGTATCTATATTCTCCACCTCTCCTTGAAAGCAAGAATGGTATCTTGCTGATTGAATAACTCTAGCACTTAGTATTTGGCACACAACAAATGGATTCTGCACAAAAGAAGCTCACAACATACTAAGAGAAATTGTTAGACAAGTACCCAGAAGGAGTACAGTTACTTCTTTAACACTGCCCAGTATAGTCCCTAAAAAGGACATAGCATGGGACCAACCATTGTTTCTCCCTTACAAAAATAAAGGACATGAATTAATGTAGTAAAAATTCTTATTTCCAGCCTAGCATAGTGGCACATACCTCGAATCCCAGCACTTGGGACGCTGATACAGGTGGATCACCATGAGTTTGAGGCAAGCCTAAACTACACAGCAAGGCCCTGTCTCAAAAAACAAACAAACAAAAAATCTGATTCCCCTTCTGTCCCCAAAAGCACAGTAACCCATGGTTTGGTTAAGTATATCCTTTGTTGAAGAATGTTTATTTACCTTCTTGGAAAAGAACTCCCTCTTTAATCTGGAGCAGACAATGTCAGCTTTGAAAAGTAGATGGACACACTATTACCTAACCAGGACAAAAATTTTTCTTCCTTCACCCTCACCACACATACTCAACTTCTGACAATGCCAAAATAAACATACAAAACAAAAAATCTGCCTGGCATGGTGGCATACACCTGTTATCCAGCATTCAGGAGGCTGAGGTAGGAGGATCACCACAAACTCAAGGCCGGCCTGAACTAAATAGAGACCCTATCTCAAAAAACAAAGCAAAACAAAAAATGTCATTTTGGAAAACGACCATATGATATTATAGCTTTCCAAGTTGGTGGAACTGCAGAAGATGAGATTCTCAGGGACTAATATTGCACAGGATTTTTATTTGAGATGCTATTGAGACTTCAACTTCTGTCAAAACATAAACTATATTCATAAAATAATAGTAAAAGTTTGTTAAAATTACAAATATTTTATGAATAACTCACTACAGCATAATCATTAAATTAGTAGTATCAATGTAACTTTTAGTATCATTCTTTTTTAAAGTATCATTCTAAGCACTCTTCAAAAGTTACTCATGCACTTACAGCTAAAAGGAAAAAAACAGGTAAGACAATTTAAAGGAAAAGAAACAATCAGAACAAACCAGAAAAAGGTAAAAGATTACATTTTATTTGGGGAACAACAGAGCTGCCTTATATTACAAATTGTCCCTGTCTTACATTACAAACAAAAATAAATTCCAAATGGATAGAAAACCAAAATATAACAAATACAATCATAAAAACAGATGGAAATATAGAATTTGTTTAAAAACTTGGAGTAGAAGAGGCCATCTAAGACACAGTTTTCAAGCCCAAAAGGAACAAACAGGTAAATCTGTCTACATAAAAACTTTAAAAGTCATAAAGTTACAAGTCAATTAGAAATAAGAGTAGGAAAAATATTTGCAACATACATGAAGGATTAATGTCCAGAATACTTAAAGAACTCCTACAAATCAACATGAAGAAGATAATCCCCTGGAAAGACAGATTTTTAACTGTTATGTTCACTGCCATATCTTTAGGATTTGGTATCAAGTAGTCAGTCTGTAAGTAATTTGTTAATGGATAGGAACAACCAATTATGAGATAAAGACTATAAACTGCCAACACAGACATGAAAATATTCTCAGCCTCATAAGCAGGAAAATGCAATCAAAAGAATGGTAAAAAATGCTGCCCATCAAAGATATAAAAATATAGCCAGGGTACTGGCACACACCTGTAATCCCAGCACTGCGAGGGGCTGAGGCAAAAGGACTGCAAATTCAAGCCCAGCCTGGACAACTTAGTAACCTAAAAAAATAAAAATTAAAAATTTGCCTGGGGATGTAGCTCAATGTGAAGGCCTTGGGCTCAATCCCAGTACCACCCACAACAATAACAATAAAATAAATAATACCCAGTTTTGGTAAAGGTATGGGGAAAGTCTCATCTTATAGATAGCTCATATGTAAAATGGGACTACATTTTTGGAAGCTACATAATATTGTGTATTAAATTTAAAATATGGACTTTCAAGCCCCAAATTCTACTTTTATATATCTACCCTACAAAAATACTTCTACATGAACACAAAGAGAATGCATACAGGGGCTGGGGATTTAGCTCAGCGACACATTGCCTGCCTGGCAAGCACAAGGTCGTGAGTTCGATTCCCAGTACTGGGAAAAAAACAAAAAAAAAAGAGACTGCATACAGATAGGTACTACAGCACTGTTTATCACAAAAGAAGAAAAAGTGCATCATAAAATAATGCTTTAATAAATAATTTGGAAATCAGTTCAGCAATTAAAAAGAATGAGACAGACATGTATGTACTGATACATGTTATTATAAAACTATAACTTTCTTTATATACAAATATGAATGTAAAGTCATAGAAAAGAGTCTAAGCCGGGCATGATGATACACACCTGTAACCTGCAGGCGCAGACAACTAAAGTAGATGGTTAGTTTCAACCAATGCATAACTCGAGTTCTACAAGCCACAAAGCCAATTATTACATTCTCTTTTTTTTTTTTTTCTTTTTTAAGGTGGAGAACCTGCTTTAGGGATACACAGCTAAAACACCACCTCAAATTACAGAAATGGTTTGGCAAAGAGATGTTATAGCTTGGTATGTACCATTATGGTTTTAGCTATCAGGTGCTAAAAGTAACACACTGTTCCTGTCATGCCTATGGCTTGATCTTGCTGCAAGAGGCTGATATACAGAGGGATATGATGATAATGGAGGAAAATATTAGGAAGAATATAGCGGAAGGGTTTGGGGGACTGAGTCAGCTGAAAAGACGAAGTGAATAGTAAAGGAACTGAGGATTAGGAAAATAAGGGATGACTGGATGTCAAGTAGTAACTAAAGTAAACAGGATGTGAGGCATGGTGGTTGAGGCCTCCTCATAGAAGAGGGTAGATCCTGAGTTCTCAAAGGTTGCACAAAACGATCTTAGCACAAGCTTAAACAGACTTCACATGGGAGTTTAGTCAGATCAGTAGGGGGCTGACAGTGTGGCAAAGCCTCCCACTGTTGCTACGGGCAATGTTCCATCTCACTGATCCCAAAGGCATCACAGACTGGCAAAATCCTGGGCAAGTTAATTACTCTCTTTAAGTCTACATTTTCTCAAATGCAAAACAAAGATAATACTACTCATGTGAGGGGCTGGGGATTTAGCTCAGCGGCACAGCGCCTGCCTGGCAAGCACAAGGTCATGAGTTCGATTTCCAGTACCAGAAAAAAAAACAAAAAAAATACTACTCATGCGATAAAGTTGTTACAAGGATTAACAGATGAGACAGATGTCTGGCACAAGGTAAGTAGTCTAAATGGTACCATTATAGGGATCACCAAAGCCAAGAGAACGGTTTCTAAGGACAGGCAGTCAACACTATCAAGTCTTTTAAAGTGACCAGGGGCTGGGGATTTAGCTCAGCGGCAAAGCGCTTGCCTGGCAAGCGCAAGGTCGTGAGTTCGGTTCCTGGTACCGGAGAAAAACCAAAAAAAAATTTAAAAATAAAAATAAAAAATAAATAAAGTGACCAGAAGGGTCATGTTGAATACCTGCAGGAGGAGATAAATTTATAGAGAAGATAAAGCCAGTTTTGATATTAGTATGCAATGTACAAAAAGGCTTTAAGGAAAAGCCTCATATAGTCAGAAGAACTCAACTAGAAGCTCCAGTATACTTTTGTTTAACATAGGTTCTCAGCCAGAAACCAGGTGTCTCAGACTGATGTATTTCTACTGACAGACTCTTGGTGTGGCGGGGGAGATTATGAGCTATTAATTAAAGTAGCCCAGAGAGAACATGGTTGGTTGAATTGCTGCAGAATACAGCTGTGGAAGAAAGAGACTGAACATGATAAAGTCTGGTTTTTTTGTGTTTCTTTTGTTTTTGTCTTTTTGAGACAGGGTTTCGCTATGCAGCTCAGGCTGGCCTTGAGCTCACTTTGTAGCCCAGGCTGGTCTGGAACTCACAATGATCCTCCTGCCTCAGCCTCCCGAGTGCTGGCATTACAGACTTACAAGTACGCACCACCATACCCAGCAAAGTCTGCTTATTTAACTTGACTGAAATAATTTTATCCTTAGGAACTGTTATGGAGTAAACTTTCTCCTTTGTTCTGTTCTCACCAATCTCTGACTATGTCATTAACACCATAAAAACTCACAGAAATCTGATCAAGCTTACTAAACCTCTTTCTGGGTAAGTGAATTTTAGATTCTCTAATTGTGTCTATACCTAAACACAATGGCAGGGTAGAGGATGTGGGCAACTGCCAAGACCTCTTCCCATCAGTTGTACCTCTGAATATTTTGTTTGTTTGTTTTGTGTTTTTGTCTTTGGAGACAAGGTCTTACTATGTAGTGTGGGCTGGTGTTGAACTCACTATGTAGCCTAGGCTGACCTCAAACTTGAAGTGATCCTCCTGCCTCTGCCTCCTGAATGCTGGGACTACAGGCGTATACCACCACACCCACCTCCTCTGAACATTTAAACAAGACCTACCATGAAACAAACAACATACCCTTTATAAACTCAAGAAAGGGTCTAAACAAAGATTACAAGAAATCTCTTTTTTCTTTCTCTGGTTGTGAGAAAGGGAACCATTTCTAAGAGAATTATATGATAAAGGCACCCTCCTTCACCTCCCCCTACTCTACACAATTCAATTAGCTCTAGACACTAAAGATCTAAGTGTCTTCCTCAAAACATCAAATACCCAAATACAGCTTCAGCCCAGAGGAATCTCTTAAAACTGTTCTTAAATCAAGTGGGGAACACTTTTAAAAAATCAAGTGTGGTGTCACAAGCCTTTAATCCCAGCAATGAAGAGGCTGAAGCAGGATCTCCCAAGAGTTTGAGGCTAGTGTGGGCTACATAATGAGTTCAAAGTCAGCCTAGATGCCAGGCGTGGTGGTGCACACCTGTAATCCCAGCACTCCGAAGGCTGAAGCAAGAGGACTGTCTAGAGTTCAGGACTAGCCTAAGCTACAAAGTGAGCTCAAGGGCAGCCTGAACTGCATAGTAAGACCCTGCCTCAAAATAAAAAAATTAAGTCAGCCTAGACTACACAGGCCCTACCTCAGAAAATAAAAACAACAAAACAAAAACACTCTTAATGTTTAAACTTTCCCAGATTCAAAGAGAGCAAAATTCATATATTATAAAACATAAGGACTGCTTTCCCAGAAAACTCAAAAATGTCCACAAAGATAGATGGTTAAGACCTGTAACTAGCTCAGAAAATAAAAAGAAACTGCGTATTTTACATTAACAAAAAAAATCTGCAGAAAAAAATAATGTAAGATTTAAAAGGTTCAGTCCTGGATTTTGAGCACAGAATATCTGAATTGAAAAGCTACAGAATTTGGGTTTTGAAATCAAACAAACTAGGATTCTGTTAGCTCCATCATGTTACCGTATAACCTTGAGACAAATTCCTCTTTTTCTCCACCTTTGCTTCCTCAATAAAACAAGAACACTATCTTTAAAGGCACATAAAGGAATTAAATAAATTAGTATATATAAACCTCTAAGCACAACATGTGGTGCACAGCAGCATGCCAATTTTCCAAAGGTTTAATCAAACTGATTCAGAGAGAATGTGAGATTCAAGGAATAGGACAAATAGCTGACCAGAAAGAAAAATGTATTCTTCAGTTACTCAAATTATTAACTTTCAAAATGAGAACAAAAGAGAGAAAACAAGTATCTCAAATTACTACCTAATTATAAACGTTAGGCTACAACTGTAAAAGATGTTCCTCTTCTCCTCTTCTTATATAATTCTTTGAAGTTCCATGTTCATACAATTTCTTCCATACTCTTCCTAAAGTCCTAACTCAAGATTCTCCTTACTTTGGTCCTGGGATGACCTTATCCTTAGCCAGACAGACACATTTCAGTGTTCACTTAGTATTCTAAAGACTTCTGAGAGAAGGCCAGACGCTAGAGGTTAGAAAGAATCCATTTGGCATAACGAAAAGCACATGGACAATGGAAACATACAGACATGGGTTTAAGCCCTACCACTACTACTTTCTAGACATATAACTTTGGGCAAGGCACTTAAAACCTCTAAAATATTTCCTCCTCTGTAAAATGGATATAATGTCCCTATATCTCATACTGTACACATCAGGATTACAGAAATGCCTATGACAATCCTTGGCACATAAAAGGCCAATTAATGGTAACTAATATTAGGGTACAACTGCCAGTTGCCGTACTGAACATTTTGCCAGGCTGTACATTTTTAACTGGCAAAAGAGTCAGACTGCTCCCACATTCCCATGCTTATAGCCAAAGCATTCCATTTTGTGATCTATAATTAACCAAATTAAGAGCTTAAACAATTCAGGGCAAGAATGCACTAACATGGTTCAACTCATTCTTTCCTGACAGCAACAAAGCCAGGCAAGGTAGGTATGGTTGCCAAAACCGAGTCTGTCTGAACTAGGTCATTACTGATAATGATGTAAACACAAGTTAGCCAAGGTTCTTCGGCTTGCAGCTTTATTGTCAGAAAGTTTTAACTTTTCTAAAATAAATACCCTTCTGCCTGGTTTTCTCTGCTGTGTTTCAATACTCCTAACACCAATTTCTAAGAGCACAGGGAAGAAATCCTCTCAAGTGCTACACATTCACTATGGAAGTTATCTTCGCTTTTCATAACTTATTTCTAGAGATTTTTTGTTTGCTGAGTTCACGTAATGTGAACTTGCGAAGAACATTATACAGAAATATACTTCCAGTGACAAGATCTGGCCTGCAGAGTACCACAAGTTACAGGATGGAGGCAAGTTCCAAAGATAAAATATGACTGAAAGTAACCTGCACAACCTATGTTCATTCTTATTAACTACTGCACTTGAGAATTCTGGCTGTTACAAAAAGTTTATTTCCCTTGCATGGGTTGTGCAGAGTAACAGAACTAAGAAAACTGATGACAGATACACGAATGGAATAAGGAAAACCATCAATGGAAATGTGACTCAACATAAATAAGTTTTTACATGACAATTATGCAATAAAAGTCACCAAGTACACAGTCAAAGGCTATTTCAATCCTAGTGTTCTCAGTTCCTCCATAATAAACCAGAAGGGAGCCAAGGTCAGAATGATTAAATAGCAAATCTAAGAATCAATAAAGGCTCAACAAATCAGAACATCACAATGCAGTGAGGTGACTTTCCGCTTGAGGAAAGAACCATCTCACGCCCTTCCATTTAGCCAATGTAAAGAAAGTTAAAGATTTTTAAGAAGACGAAAAAAAAAAACAACTCAGTGATGCCTTTGTGTCATACAGCTGTATCCTTGCCCAGAACTTCACCTGCTTAACTTTCAGCAGAGAAGTGGGGTTTTTTGGGTGCAATTAACATTGTAAAGCAAGCTCAGCCCTGTCTTCTATAGCCTCAAGGTTGCTGAGTAAATCTAGAATCATGGAACATACATTTTAGTAATGAAAAAACAGGAAGAAGGTGGTTCAGTGGCATGGAAAATGGCCAAGAGGCACATCTAGAATTAAGAAAAACAGATTCTGGTGTGTTGTCTGTAATTTTTTTAAAACTTCTTTCTATGCAATCTATTGAACCCTATATTTCAGAGGCGGTCATGGTAGTACATACTTAACCCATGATAAGATTAAAAGTCATTGTTCATATTAATAATGTTGTCATTTCTTGGCACCCTACTATACGTGCCAAGTTCAATGCTAACATCTATAAAAGTGTTATAAAGTATTTAATACTTAATGTCTGATACTTAATCATACTAATATCCTTATTTTTATTCAACAGGAATCTGATTTGTAGCATTTAAAACTTACCCAAAAGCTAGCAGGAACTGGGAGAGAAGGTACTAGGATTCAAACCCAAGTGTCTGTCTGTCTCACTATAAACTCCACGATCTAAAAGCAGTGTTAAACACTTTTACTTTCCAAAGATCTGACCTAGTTACACATTTTAGACTTCTGCCTGACTCTTCATCACAAGAAAAACATTTAGGGGCTGGGGATTTAGCTCAGTGGCAAAGTGCCTGCCTGGCAAACGCAAGGTTGTGAGTTCGGTTCCCGGTACCGGAGAAAAACCAAAAAAAAAA